ATCTATTCATATAAAAGATTGTATGTTTACATAGAATGTGTTATATTACATACTATGTAATAAATAATAATAATACAATATACTAATATATAATAACAATCGATTATATATTGTGTGATGACCTAATAAATATTAATTATATAATTATTCAGTCGCAGCCAAGTGCTAAAATGAATCGTGCCGTGGAATAAAAAAAATGCTCTAAAAGGTGGGGCGGGGGGATAAATATGGGAAATAATTCTTTTTGTATAATAAACACAAACATTTGGAAAATCATTTATGAAGTACAGTGGAACAGTGGAACCCTGGTCCACCCGATTTACGTCATTTCCCAGTTACGTCTTCTCTACATAACGCGATAGTCAATTGTTTTTAACGAATATTTCTCGTTCCACGTATTCAAATTTAACTCAATCAGTCTGAAAGTTACTTCAGTAAAAAATTTGTCCTGAAATAGATTAATTTCATAATGCTTTTATGGTTAAATAATTTCAGATTATATAGTTTATATACAGTTTAAGAACTTATAGAAATATATTTCTAACAAACATAAGTACACAAGTGCAATTAATCGAGAACTAAGATCATTATTTACGTATGTGTAATGGCTCTACAGCGTCAGACGGCCTCACTCTTAAATTCTATTGTTAAAAAGAAAGTACTGTAAGTTAATACGTTGAATGCTATGGGGGTCATCGGTGATCCCCAACCAAATGGAATTACTATAGTCCACTTGATTAAACGATGATTATTTGAAAACAATTTTATATTATAAATAATGCTACCTAATGCGGTGACATTCAGCTAGATCAACGTGCAATAATAATAATGCAATTCAGTCATATGATTTAATACTATATTTTTCCATTTTGCATATTTTACTGTATAAAATCGTGCGGCATTCAACGTGTTAAGAAACTAAATTAGAAATAATAAAACTTTTTGATAGTTGAATAAAAGTAAATTTGCCAAAAACATCTGTGAGGACATTTCTTAAAGGTAAAGAATGTATTTTAATGACAATACTAGAAGACCATCTAGTAGTACGTTCTAGTATTAGTCGCGGACATCGTGATCTTCTCAGTTCTTCGTAAACATTCGTTAAATGTAATCTATTCTATCATTTTCATACATTTAAAATAAGATGTATCTCCTAATTTCATAAATATAAGTACAAATATGTATGTTCGCATACATGCAGTCTACCCTGTGTATCCCGACTTATATCCTTTTCAATTTTTGTTGCCCACCCCGGGACCAATTAGGACGTAAGTCCGGGGTCTCCCTATATTACAGTTGCAAAAGGTATGTATTGAATTTTTTCGACAATTAGTCAACAGGTAGTAGAGTATGCTCATTTACAATAGAACTAGAATTAGAATTTTGTGCATGGTTGGTGTCATATCTAAGCGATATAAGAGATTTCAGTTCAGTCCTGTTATTTCAGAAAATACATCAGGATACGCAAAAAATCTTCTACAGGTGTTGTCATTATTAGTATTTCCAAACTCCGGTTCTGGAGTGTCAACAAGTAAAACTATTTTATTTTTTAATTCTGTTTGTATTTCCAGTTTGTGTCTTTCAACCATTTTTTTTTACTTCAATATCTGTTTCTCTTATACATTATTTCTTGGCTGGGAATTTATAAGACAACAGCATATTTTTGAGTAAGCGAATTCTTGCATGCAAGGTAGGTAAGCCGTACTGAAAATTACTCGGATTTATGTCCGTTATTTCTATTTTCGTCAAATTGTTAAAATCACTTCATGTTGCTCCGCAAATATAGAATCTTTTTGTAAATGTAGTACTTGTAATGGTATTCCATATTTTTCCATCAATCATGGTTAATACTATTTTATGCTCTACGGAAAAATTGTTTCCCCCACGTGTGATTTTTATCGGCTCCAATAAATTTATTGCATTCTTTATGCAATCAATTTCATTTTTAATTATGCCACGTGTCTCCTTTACGAATTTAATCTTGATTGGTCGACAATATTGTGGACAAGAAGGCGTTAAATTTTGCCAAATAATCTGTTATACTCTAGGAGATAATTTTATTTCAGTAGGGCAAATTGACACTGAAAAATGTGTTCAGCAAAATCGAATTCGTTTTCAAATGTTTATTTAAAACGATTTTATTGGGATCCATCATATCCCCATTTAGACATTAAAATTAGTCTATAGTCTTTTCCGTTTATAGTTGCCAAAACATTTTCTAAGTAAATTAACAAACGTTCAGCAGTATGGTTTAATAAATCTTGGAGATTTATTTCAACAGAAATCGATGTTATTCTATATGAATGTTTGTCTGGATAACAATTTGTTTGCTCTTTGGCGATTATCATAGAATGAATAATATTTTTTATTTGTATTTCTAATTACTGTATGAGTCGTTCAGAAATCAGTGCGGAAGCCAATTCAGAAAACAAAATTTCAGAAAATTAATGTTTTTTAATACATAATTATTATACAACATATTTAGACGTTATAAAAAGAAAAGCTTTCCGACTTTAAAAAACGAAAAAACGAACAAATCCTTTAGTAACTAAAAAGAGTGTTATTTACTTCATTAAAATTTTTAAAAATTAAAAAAATAAATGTTCTTAATCGCATTAGCTTCTGAACGACTCAAATACTAACGCTTTGTGAAGCCAGCTTCAACAAACATTGACAAACCCTTCAATAGTGATTATTTTTCATTATTTTTTTCCTTCAGAGCTGAATACGCAATTTTATATTGTCTAGCTCGCTTAGAAAAATCAACCACATGTTCGTTAAATGTTAATTCTTCTTTTTCAAACATCAGATCTACTAATCTTCTTTGTGTGATTACTTTCATTCCTGATGGACCTAAATAAGAAACTAAATTAAACACAGGAACATACTTAAATAGATAAAAATTAAACCTAAATGATCATATCACATGTCTGCCTCAAAAGAACCTATAAGTATAAATTAGTTTAAAATGAAACACAATGAAATATATATCAGCATGCATTTAAAAAATACCAAACAATAGAAAAACACACAGTTGCAAACCTAAAACATGTGACAATGAAAAAATTGAAGAATGTGTAAAGGAATTAAACAGAAAAGAAAAAAAAGAGAATAATAAATAATTAATAAAAAAACAGTACTTTCAAGAATAGAAATGCAGATAATTAAAAACGTAGTAATGAATAAATTAGTACAAAAGAACAATCAAAATAAGAAAATGAAAGAAAAATAAAGCCAAACCAATAGTTTTAAAAAAGGTAGAAAGAAAAGGGTAATAACAATAATAAAAAAAAGTAAATAAAATAAAATTAAAATATATAAGCAAGCATAAATTGAGTAAAAAAACTCCCAGTGAACATGGGTTCGAGATTCAATACTTTCCGAAATAAAAATAGGTTCAGTTTCGAAAAAAATATATGGAAACCGAATTAAGAACATCGAATTGTCAAAAAGTATCAGTAATACAAACAAATGTATCAAACAAAAGTTACAGGCTATGAAATACCACATATCTCGATGGAAGGTATTTGACCGTGAGGTGACCTTGTAACGCCCTGCAGAGGTCACGTCACAATTCTTAAACAGAACCCCATATTTTCTATTCCATATCTTTGAAGCTGACATTCAAAGGTTTCCAAACCACAGACATAAAATTTATCTTAAAAGCCGTTATCAAAATATCAGCATCCAAAGTTTCCGATTCGTCAGTAGTGATAGTAGCCCACGAACAGTCCACCACCGAACTTGATCATGGAAGGGCAAGGGGATGCTCGGTTGAGCAACCGTGACGTGCAGTTTCGGCAGATTTCGTAGTAACTAACCTTGAAATCCGCTGGAGCGAGTGAAACGCCAATAGAGTTGTAGAAGAACGCATGGGAGAGTAAAGGATGGTAGCGTGTACGATGACTGCTTCTCAGCTGTGAGTCCACGGTCCAATCGATAAATGCTGTCAGTCACATTTTCAGACGGAAACCCATCGTGTAACAAAGACCGTGGATACTGCGTTCCTTTACTCTCGCATGATAGTCGCACTGTCCATCAGTCACCACCACTACCGATGAACCGACAACTTTGGATGCTGATATTTTGACAACGGTGCACACGAAAAATTTCATGTCTTTGGTTTTGAAACGTCTGAATGTTGGCTTCCAGAATATGGGATAGAAAATACGGGGTTCTATTTAAGAATTGTGGCATGACCTCTGCAGTATATTACAAGGTCACCTAACGGTCAAATACCTCCCACTGTGACATGTAGTATTTCATACCCTGTAACTTTTGTTTAACACATTTGTTTGTATCACTGATACTTTCCGAGATAATTCGGTGTTCTTGATTCGGCTCCCATTTTTTATACTAAACTTACTTTTATCTCGGAAAGTATTGAGTTTTGGATCCATGTTCACTGAGGTTTTTTCACTCAGTTTGGTGAGTTGTATACATCCTATCATTTATGCGCAACAATTTAGTTACACCCTGTATATAAATATCGATCTTATTACAAAAATAAATTAAGATAAATTGTTAATAACTTCCTTAATAATAATATTTGAATAAAAAAAGTTATGCCTTAATAAAAACGTTTTAAAAAATTGCAATCTTTGTGTCTTACAAACGAAAAAAATTAGGTGCTATAAGGCGCTACTTCGGAAGAAATAAACTAATTAAGGGGGGATCTCATCTAGGGACGTCCTAAACATAGGTAAACATTAGGAATCTTTTTGTTAGTAATTATTAAGTAAAAAATTTTTATTTTTTCTGGGTATATAACTGTAATCTGCTTTATATATATGTATATTTTTTCTAAGCCGATATGTTACAAAATGACGTAGTTATTCGCTAACTTTGAAAGCCTCTTTCGTAAAACATTCATTGTTGATGGACCCATGATCACCTTGGCCAAATTTTATTAAAATATATAAAGTAATGGTAAAGTTATAGATTTTTGTTCGCCATCAACTGTTTCGTCCCATTGTGCACTACACCAAGATCCAGTCGCCCATATGCATACACCCTTACAAGTACATAAGTATTTATGTACTATTCGGTATACCAAAACGTCAGCTTTCTTTTATAATTTATACGATCGGTATTTTAGACCTTCGGACATGCATAAATTCGCGTAAGATACCAGTCTATGACGTCTCTCATCGGTGACTTAATACCAGTTTAAATTGATATGATAGAACGCGACACAAAAGTAGTAATACTGTCTTAGAATCTCAATACCGTGTAAGAAAATTCTACATTGATCATTGGTTGTTAAGTCTAACCATATATTCCTCGTCTGTGTTAGTACTAATTATCAATTACATACTATAGAGAATTAAAATATTTCTTATCATTTATAAGTTGATTACAAATTAAATATTACTGAAGATAGTATCAATATTCAGTAACTTTATGATTTTTAAATATCTTTTAAAATTTTGAAGTAAGGGTTAAATTCTTCTGCCTTATTATAATACATGCAAATTTAAAAAATGAAAATATCATTAAATAGTTCCGTGCTGTACGTTTCATAACCTGTGTTCAGTTTTTCGTATTTGAATTTCTACCACATACAGTAAAAGTGTGTTAATTCTTGATACCTTTATATATTACAGCAAACAAAAAAATAAAATATAAAAATGGTAATTATAAATTGTATGTAATGGATATGCAATAAAGATGTTATTAACATATATTTTTCTTTAATCAGATTAAAAATGGTGCATTGAAACTTAATTATGTAGGATCTAGTTCAATAGTTA